GCGCGGGTGCGTCCTCAGGGGCGGCCTGGCCGCTGCGCCGCACGACCCAGCCGGCCCCCAGGCCGCGAGGCCAGCCGGGCGGCGGACTCACTTAGTAAGGCGGGGTTGCTGAATCTCCAGGCTTCGTTGTAAGCGGTGTACTGGGGGTGGCTGTACGGGTTGCCGGAGAACTCGCTCCCTGCGGAGGGGGCGAGCGTCAACTCACGTGCGGGGCGGGCGCTCCCCGCCGTCCCCGTGCTGAGAGCCGGTCGGAGGCAGAGGCGTAGTGACGCGCCAGGTCCGCTAGGCGGTGCGGAGGCCGGAGGCACGCGCTCCTCTCCCACCGACGTCAGGGACCTGCACACCTGGTGCCCTGTGGCCGGCTGGAAGGGTTCGTTCTGGTCGAGGGCATCTACCCCGCTGACGGGGATCCCAGCAGTTTTTGTGGTACTGTGGTTCTAGGAGCTATCGCCCCACAGGGTGGGACTGGGAAAGGGGGCCAAGAAAGGCCCATGGGACACTTTGCCCCAGAAAGTCCTAAGCATGGAGTCTCGCGCAGTGCCAACATAAGGTAAGGTGGAACGGCTCTCCCTTTCCCCCAGAGTTCGGATACGTGGGTCATGTGACAGGGGTGGGGTTGCAAAAAGCAAGTGGACTGCCCTCCTGTCTGGGAGCAGAACCCCTGGGCCCGAGCCATCGGAAGCTGCCTCCCTGCCTCTGGCAGAAAGGCCAGGCCTTCAGGTTTCCCCCTAGCCCTTTCTCCTGTGTGGTGACCCCAGACTGTTTACAGTGATCCCTAACCGCGGGTTAAGTAGAGGAGAAGGGCCCCTCTCTGAGAGGGAGCTGGGTGGGGGTGGGGGGCGCAGCCACTGGAAAGCCTGTTTATTGACGAGGAGGGAAAGCATGCGTGCAGCAGGATAATGAGCTTCTGAGCTCAACTGTGACCAAGAGGAACTGAGCTATCTCCTTCCCCATCGCTAATGAAACAAGTGTAATTTCCTCATCAGCACTAGATTCTGTTTAACGACTCCCCCCGTGCCACCATGAGCTCTCTGCGGCTCCCCTCATCCCCACCTCCCTGCAAACTCCCCACACCCACCTCCCTACTGCACCCCTCCCCCAAGACCTCCTCCAGCCTCCACCTGCTCGCTGCTGGAACCTTCCCCCAAGAGCCTGCCCCCCCATGCTTCTCCTTCCGGGATTCTAGGCAGGAGTCTTCACTCACCTAGCTCTTTGCTCCACTCCCACCCTAAGCTCTGTTTACCCAGCGCTGTCTCTAGGGAGATGTGGCCGCTCAACCTCTTCTATCTTGCCCTACCAGTGATGGCACATCAGGACCAGAGCACACAAGATGGCCTCTAGAGGCAGTGGGTTGTAGACTAGGGTGATTTTTACAAGATATTTTGGGTTTCTGCAGATAGGAACTTCTACTCCTTGGCTTCAAGCCCTGAGTCCCCATCTGGGAGGAGGCTGGGGCAGCATACCTCTAGCCTCAGGCACCAGCTTGCGATTCCCTGATCCACACAGGCCAAAGCCCACAACTCACAGGCAAGGAGTGGCTCAGAGCCTCAGAAGAGCAGCAAGGACCTAAGTTCTTGGAGAGCTTGGGCGTGCTGTAACCCAGCTCTCTGAAGTTGATCTTTACAGCTCCTGCCATTGCCTGCCCCTGTCCTCTTAGGGATGCGCTCCCTCCTCTCTCTGGATTGGGTTGACCTCCACATTGGTCTTCCCTGTGGCTTGGAGTGGCCCAGGGTGGCTTTGTCTGAAAGCCATGGTCCTGAAAATGGTTCTTGGCTCCAAGTTTCCATGGAAACCAGATCAGGTTCTTCTAAGTGGAGTCAGCTGGCTGGGGTGGGCTGGACCTGAAGGTGGGCTGAGCAGAGTGCTCCTGGGGTGCTGGCTGTGGTGGATGGGTACTGGGGAGGGGTCTAGGTAAAGGGCACTTCTGCAAGCTTCCTGTCTGGGCTGTTCATGAGGGAGGATGAGGGGCCACTTGCAGCCTCTAGGCAGAGAAGAACCAACAGACAGGGAGTTTGCAGGGAGTGGATTCTGGGTCCTCCACCCCACTCCTGACTACAGAGCACTCAGAAGCACACCCACTGTGTTGTAACCCATTTCAGTTAGGTAGCAGCAGCAGCAGCATTGTCACCTACCAGGAACCATCCCTGCCAGGGTGGAGGTAGGGTAGCTTCCCTGGCCAGTAGGGGGCACATGAGGGGGGTAACCAGGCAGAGTGGTGCTTGCCATGTCTCGACCTGGAAAGACAAAGGGGGATGAGTGAGGGCTGGAAGACAGAGCCTTGCCTCTGCTCAATCTGGACACTCCTGGAGAAGAAGGAGCTCAGTGTCCAGGACAAGCAGGTCTGGAGGTGCCATGGCTGGGTCCCAGCATGTTGCCCAGATGCCTACATCTGCATCAGCTGTGTGTTGTCCTGTGCAGCTCTCTGCCTCTGTGTCCAGGTTCAGGCCGTGCAGACGGTGCCCAGTCCTGCCTTAGCCTGTGTCTGCATTGCAAACCCAGATGGAGACGGGCAGAGCCAACTTGGTTTTACTCCTTCTCTCAAAACATTCCCCTGTGGCCTCTCCAGCAGCCAAAGGGACCTCTTAGTATCTTGCTTACCTGCTCCCTCCCTGATAGCCTATCTTGTCTTCAGGCTCCAAGAACACCTTTCCATCATCCCTACAGGGGCTGATGGGGATGCCCAGTTTTCTCCAAGTGGAGCTGCAGGTGCCTGGGCCTGGCAGTTGTGGAGGACCAGGGACCAGCCAGTAAGCTGTTTTGCAGTTAATGTTTATGGCATTTAAATGGCAAAGAACCATCCCTGGAGTGAATCAGGAACATTGAGCCAACAATGCAAGTGGATCAGATCAAATTCCATTAAGCAAGACCCACCCCTGCTTCTAGTATCTGCGGGATTCTGGAGGGTTGGCGGCAGGGCCTTCCCTGCCAGTGTCCTACAGGGAGACACAGTAAATCAGAACTGGGGAGATGCCCCTGGCCCTCGGCGGCACACAGCTGGCTTCCCTTGCTTTTCTGTTCCCTACATGGCTATGAAGGGGATATCACCTTCCTTTGCAGTGTGCAAGCAGGCTGCCTCTTTTAATAACAGTGCTTGCCCTTCCCCCTCTCCCATATTGCTCATGGCAGGCTACATCATCCTCTCCTGTGGCCTGTGGATCCCCTGCAGATTCTCCTTGTCCTTGTCAGCAGCTAGTGCCACTAGTCCACCCTTTCATGCCTCTGTTCAGCCCTGGAAGACAAGGTGTGGCTGGAGGACATCAAACAACTCTGCATGCAATGCCCAGTTTACTCCTCCTCAGTTGGGCCCTACTCAGCATCCCCCACTGCTTGACTGCTTTCTCCGCCACCCTCCCCTTGTGGGTGACCTTGCCTCCTGGGTTCCTGAGGTCTGTGGTTTTCTCGCCCCTACTGTGGCATGTCTGAGTAATTCATCCTCCAAGTATACAACAGAGCTACAGCTGAGGCTTTTGCATTTTTAGCTGCTTGCTGAACATTCTCATTAGCTGTCCCGCTGTCACCTCAAACCTAATAGAAACCAAGGCAGATTCATTTCCTATTTCTACCAAGTCTTTTAAAGACCTTGGACTCCTTGACACTGCCCCATGTGAGACTGGCCATCTCTGATTTTGATTCTCACTAGCCATGTCTAGTACATCTGCCTGATTTCCACTCTCTTTATGCCTTCACAGCTCAGCATTTTGGCACCTGTCCTTGGCTCGCCATAAGGGCTTTCCTTGGCTGTGCTTCTGCCACCATACTCTTTTGTCCATCACTACTTCCCTTCAAAAACCGCTGATTCTCCAGTGTAGTCTGAATCAAACCTCTATAGGCTTTCATAACTCTTTGCACCCAACTTTTTCAGCTCTGATCCTTACCCTGCCTGGTTCCACTGACTTTTGTTTTATAAAAGCCCTGTGCTTTCAGCATGACCTTTCTCTCTCCTTCCAGCTCCAGCCCCTCACAACTCCTACTGTCCTACTTATCAGGAAATCTCCTTTTAACCTTCTGTATAGCATCGGAGCTCATACACATGTCATTATATTGTATAATCAGCCCTGTTGTTCATATTATGGTTTGTTTCTTTGTAGTCAGCTGAAGGGCAGGACCAGTCTTTTGCTGTATCCTGCATGGAAGAGAACATGGTGCATACTCAACAAATACTTGATTAATTCTCTGTCTCCACATTGCATTCACATCCAGTTCCTTATGGCTTGTAATTGTCTATTACTGTTTCATAAATGTTGATTTCCCACAAGGAGGTAAAACTGGGATGGCATGTAAATGAATCTTTGTTTTAACAATTTAAACTATACAATATTTTATGAATTTTTGTAAGACAGGAAAAGATTTACAGTGAAAAACTGTGTTGTCACTCAGCTTTATCATGCAACAGAATGATTTTCCTCTATACCTGCTCAATGTAGCTAAAAATCTTGCGTTTACTAAAACTCAACAACAAAGTAGAACAACCAAATGAAAGATCACTTCTGACTATGAAGTAAAGGACCTGTTTGATTTGTTGTCAGTTCTGTTGACAATAAAAGCGCATCGCTCCTGAGCATCGCTCAGTGTAGTGGACCCAAAGTGGGCAATGACAACAAATTATTTTATTATTTTTTAAGATGCAGGTCTCATTGTTGCTCAGGGTGGCCTCAGATACCTAGGCTCAAGTGAGCCTCCTGCCTCAGAGAGGGACTACAAGGGTTGCAAAGGTGCACTTTGGTACACAGTCTGTCGATTCCTAGGGAGATCAATACTGTGCCACTTACTGGTGCAAAAAGGTCCAAGACAGAGTAGAGTTAGGGAAGATGTGGAGGTTCTGAAGGTAGACAGACAGAGAAGCCAAGTGCCTCTTGGCTTTGTGGTCTTACAAGGCAGTTGGGAAAAAGAGTGTGACTCGTTCTTAAAAACAGAAATTCAAATGCATCTGAATTCTGGTCTTAAGATGCATAGCTGTCATATCCCTTTGTACAAGAGACCCTCATAATCTAAGGGCTTTTTACAAACTCAACCCCCCATCTTCAGGAGAGAGAAAGCAAGGTTAGGCACCTAGAAAGCTGTCTATAGCTAACCTGGTGACCCTCCTTTTGTAGTCTATTTCCACTGGAGGAACATTCTCTCTTGCAAAATGGTATGACCAACTTCCAGCAGATAGAAACCTTTGCATGATGAAAGTCATCCACTGTACTGTTGATTGGAAGGCACATTTCCAAATTCTGTTTTTAAACACAAACAGAACCTAGGAAGCACCATGTGCCAATTTTTTAAAATGTGGGAGACAAGCCCATGCCGAGGAAGAAGATTTGAGCTTCTTGGGTTTGGTACATAGCTGTGCTCAGTTCTGTCTAAGCAGTGTCACCACAAAGATGACCTGTCCAGTACTCCTGAGTAGATGCAGGTGCAAGCACTGCATCCAAAATGCTCTCAGTGTCTTCATTAGTACACAGGGGATACCTGAAGAACAGGGAAAAATTGACCAAACTCTTGCCAGGGCCATATGTCCTTCTGCAACACCATTGTCAATAATGGAAAACACATACTGCAGGAAGTTCTCAGATTACTAAGATCATAATACCATTTGCCCAGCAGCATTCTCTGAGCAAGTCTCCTTCAGTGAGGGAATATGAATGGGCAATGGGACTCATGCACGGAACAGTCGGCAGAGCACCAGGTGCTGAAGTACTACAGCCGGATGGACAGACAGGAGTGGACTCTCGCGGCAGCAGCTGCCTCCCTTACACAAAGAGCCAAAGCACAGAAAGCAGAGAAAACCATTACATCACAGAACGTGTCAGTTATAAAATACGTGCCACCAGACAGAAGACAGCAAGCAGTAAAGTACTGGCTTTGCTCACTGACGAGGCCAGGAACATGAAGATGGCACCAAGAATCACAAATGGACCAAAACCATGTGTTACACGAGAGCATGGGCGTGTCCTGTTCCCACTTGCTTTCTAAGGTTACAAAGCTTTTAAAGACCTTCCAATCTAAGACATTAGATTTCTTTAACTAATGTCCTGTTTTAAAGGTGAAGTGGATACTCAGGCAGGTGATTGTCCTGCAGCTGTAGGCTAGCACACAGTAGATCCAGAGTTGGAGGCCACACTGCCCTTAGAGACAGCACAGAGGCAGATCTGCCACACAAGAGCCCAAGGAAAGGAAAGGGAAGGAAGCCAGCTGATGGGCAGAATTGCACGCTGTCACTAAATTGAGACCAGAAAAGAAGGACACAAAGAATAAACTGACGTGGGAGGTCAGTAGCAAAACTCCATGGTGTGGAATATTAATCTCCTTTGAGAGCTTGCTAAAAAACAAACACTTCAAGAAAAAGTAGTAGCTGAGAGCTGAAAGTACTGAGGAGGGTTGGAAGCACTGTCCTTGATGAGGGTGTCTTCTCAGTTCCACTGCTGAAGTCCCTGAAGATTCTGAAGCCAGTTTCTACAGCAATCACTGCGTCTGAGTCAGGGCACTTCTGAGAGACACTCCTTAGCAAATGGGCCAGAGCAAATCAGCTGTTTTGGAGAATCTAAGCACAGCCTCTCAAGTACAGAGAAAAGCTAAGTGAGACACTTTATGAGGAAATTGGAAAATTTTAGTCTTTAGATACTTGACTACTTTAATCACCAGCTATGTGATCCAGGGCAGAGTTCTGTTTATCTGTTCGCCTTGCTGACACTTGCTATGTGCCAGGCACTGTCCTTCACATTTTCTATGCATTATTTGACCTTAGATCAACTCTGTGATGCTGACCTGTTTTTGATCCCCATCTCAGACATAAGCTGGAACTCCAGGAAGCTAAGTATTATATTAGTGAGTATTACATTTGAGATCTCACAGTGATTAGACAGTAGCTCCTGGCTAAAGAACACAGTACAATTGGGCATGATTTTGGAATGACGTTCTCAAATACTGCAGATCTAGAAAACAGGTATTTGGTACAGGCAGGTAACCTGGGATCATGTTAAGCTACACCTCCCTGTAAAGGAACATCTTGCGGTCACTCGTTTCTCATGTTTCTGCTTCCTCTTCTACATGGGGTTTTAATTTGATCCCATAGGACTATACAGATGCATTTCAGGGATCCATGGAAAGCCAAAAATGAAATGTAATAGACACTATATAAGCATACCTTTCTGGTAGATTCTATGTGCTTCTGTGATTTTTTTTGAAGTATTCACACTCAAAAATTAATAAGCAGTGCATATAAAAAAAGACTTCTCTTCTTTGGCAAATG